GGGACTGATCCCTCCTGATAACATGTCCAAAGTATGTGAGACATAGTGTTGCCATCCTTGCTTCTAAGGAACATTCTGGTTGTACTTCTTCTAAGACAGATTTGTTATTTTTTTAGCAGTCCATGGTATATTCAATATTCCTCACCAACACCACAATTCAAAGGCGTCAGTTCTTCTTTGGTCTTCCTTATTCATCGTCCAGCTTTCGCATGCATAGGAGGTGATTGAAAACACCATGGCTTGGGTCAGGCGCATCTTAGTCCTCAAGGCGACATCTTTGCTTTTCAACACTTTAAAGTTAGAGGACTTTTGCAGCAGAGTTGCCCAGTGCAATGTGTCTTTTGATTTCTTGACTGCTGCTTCCATGGGTGTGGATTGTGGATCCAAGTAAAATGAAATCCTTGACAACTTTAGTCTTTTCTCCATTTATCATGATGTTGCTTATTGTTCCAGTTGTGAGGATTTTTGTTTTCTTTATGTTAAGGTGTAATCCGTACTGAAAGCTGTAGTCTTTGATCTTCATCAGTAAGTGCTTCAAGTCCTCTTCACTTTCAGCAAGCAAGGTTGTGTCATCTGCATAACACAGGTTGTTAATGAGTTTTCCTCCAATCTTGTTGCCCCATTCTTCTTCATGCAGTCCAGCTTCTTGGATTATTTGCTCAGTGTACAGATTGAATAGGTATGGTGATAGGCTACAGCCCTGATTCACACCTTTCTTAACTTTAAACCACGCAGTATCTTCTTGTTCTGTTCAAATGACTGCCTCTTGGTCTAAGTACAGGTTCCTCATGAGCACAATTAAGTGTTCTGGATTTCCATTCTTCACAATGTTATCCATAATTTGTTATGATCTACACAGTCAAATGCGTTTGCATAGTCAATAAAACACAGGTAAACATCTTTCTGGTGTTCTCTGCTTTCAGCCAGGATCCATCTGACATCAGCAATGATATCCCTTGTTCCACATCCTCTTCTGAATCCAGCTTGAATTTCTGGCAGTTTTCTGTTGGTACACTGCTGCAGCCACTTTTGAATGATCTTCAGCAAAATTTTACTTGTGCGTGATGCTAATGATACTGTTCGATAATTTCTGCATTTGGTTGGATCACCTTTCTTGGGAATAGACATAAATTGGATCTCTTCCAGTCAGTTGGCCAGGTAGCTGTCTTCCAAATTTCTTGGCATAGACAAGTGAGCACTTCCAGCGCTGCATCCGTTTGTTGAAACATCTGAATTGATACTCTGTCAATTCCTGGAGCCTTGTTTTTCACCAGTACCTTCAGTGCAGTTTGGACCTCTTCCTTCAGTACCATCGGTTCCTGATCCTATGGTACCTCCTGAAATGGTTGGACATCAACCAGTTCTTTTTGGTATAGTGACTCTGTGTATTCCTTCCATCTTCTTTTGATGCTTCCTGCTTCATTTAATTTTTTCCCTGTAGAATCCTTCATTATTGCAACTTGAAGCTTGAATTTTTTTTCAGTTCTTTCAGGTTGAGAAACGCAGAGCGTGTTCTTCCCTTTTGGTTTTCTATTTCCAGCTCTTTGCTCGTGTCATAATACTTTACTTTGTCTTCTCGAGCCACCCTTTGAAATCTTCTGTTCAGCTTTTTTACTTATCATTTCTTCGTCTTGCTTTAGCTGCTCTACATTCAAGAGCAAGTTTCAGAGTCTCTTCTGACGTCCACTTTGGTCTTTTCTTTCTTTCCTATCTTTTTAATGATCTCTTGCTTTCTTCATGTATGATGTCTTTGATGTCATGCTACAACTCATCTCGTCTTCAGTCATTGGTTTTCAACACGTCCAATGTATTCTTGAGATGGTCTCTAAATTCAGGTGGGATATACTCACGGTCGTACTTTGGCTCTCGTGGACTTCTTCTAATTTTCTCCAGCTTCAACTTGAACTTGCATATGAGCAGTTGATGGTCTGTTCCACCGTCAGCCCCTGGCTTTGTTCTGACTGATGATATTAAGCTTTTCCATCATCTCTTTCTACAGGTGTAGTAGATTTGATTCCTGTGTATTCCATCTGGTGAGATCCATGTGTATAGTTGCGGTTTGTGTTGTTGAAAAAAGGTATTTGCAATGAAGAAATCATTGGTCTTGGAAAATTTAATCATGCGATCTCTGGCATCGTTTCTGTCACCATGTACACACACATAAGTTTGTGAGTTTACTTTCATATGCCCACCCACCCCTGTTCAGCTTATGTATCTACCTGGGTATCCACTTGTACATTATTGTTTGTTATCACTGTTGTTACAGGGTTGTATATGTATTAGTATTTACTGTTGTTGCCTGAAGGACACATAACTTTTAGTGTCTTCCTTTACCTTGATTATGCTGTGCTGACTTCCCTCATATTGTATGTCTTTTTCTTACTGACTTGTAAGATCTTTTTATATATTAGATAGATAACTGACATCGAGCTGACTCTGACGCATGGAAGCCTTATGTACAACAACCAAATGTTGCCCAGTCCTGTGCCATCCTCACGATCACAGCATGTTTGAGCCCATTGCTGTGGCCAGTGTGCCAGTCCATCTCACCAAGGGTCTCCCTCACATCTCACTGAGGGTCTTCTTCACCCTTAGTGGTCCTGTACTTCACCAAACATGGTGTCCCCCTCCAGTGACTGATCCTTCCTGATGACGTGTCCAAAGAAAGCAAGTCAAATAATGTTCTGTTGTGATCCGTAAGATTTTCATTGGCTAATTTTCAGAAGTAGATCACCAGGCCTTTCTTCCTAGTCTTAGTGTGGAAGAGCCACTGAAACGTATCCACCATGGGTCACTCTGCTGGTACTTGAAATACTGATGGCAAAGCTTCCAGCATCACGGCGACACATGAGCCACCATAGTATGACAAACTCTTGGTGGTTTCATACATAAGGAATAATACTTGTTGCTTGTACTGAAAATAATTTTTTTGGTCTGTTGAATCTTTGACTTTGGTTTTGGTGTTTGTACTATTCAGAAATGTAAACGTTTAGTGCAGTCACGTGTATTAATCCTTTCCGCAGAGTTGTATGTCATTCTCAGAAAGGCTTTCCTTACACCAATATTATAAAAATACTCGTTCTTGATTTCTTTTATTAGTTTTATCACGTTGCATTTAAGTCTTCATATGAAATGTATTTTGAGGTAAACAGTGAGGGAAGGATGCAGCTTAATTTTTAACCTTTTTCAAAATCCAGTTTTTGGGACATGAAGCTTTTAGGGAGGATGGAAATGTTCTGTATCTTGATTGTGGTAGTGGTTTCAAGGGTGTATATGCCTGTCAAAACTCATGGATTTATATACTTCACATGGGCGCAGCTTGTTGTATGTGTGTCAGACCGCAGTAAAACTGATTTTTCAAAAAGCTGGTGGTTTCTAATATCACTGATGGAAAAATTCATTTTTAACACTATTGCTTTCAAATGTCACATTTATCAAAATTTCAATTTTTTAGGGTATAGTTCCGAATTTCCATTATATTTGATTGATCTGTTTATTTCTACCAGAACCAAACTACTTTTAATTACTATTATGTTATAATATTGGTGATCTTATCTCTTCTTGTTACTCTTTCAAAAAGTTATATTATCTATTCTCTCATATTTATTTTTTTCCAGAATTTCAAAATTATCTTTTTAAAGTTGAAAAAAAAATCCTATGGCATTTTGCAATAAAATGAAATCTTTAGATTTTGTGATGAATTAATATATTTTTAATTTGAATCTTCTAGGAATTAAACCATTTATAAAATTTCTTATCCGTCTCTTGTAGAGTTTTATATTTTACTTTGCAAAGGTTTATAGATCTTATTGTTTATTCCTAGTTATTTTAAGACTGTGGTTAATAGCTTTTTCTCGCATCATATTTTTCCCTCGTAATATTTGTCCGTATAGAAATATTTGTGTGTTTTCTTAAAAATAACTGGGATTGACTCAACAGCAATGGGTTTGCTTTTTTTTGTGGGAGGGTTTATTAAACTTTTTTTTAATGTCCTAATGGGTATTCTGTTGATTGTCTTTTAGGTTTTTTAGGTTTATATCATCTGCAAATACTTTTGCTCCCTCCTTTCCGATGTTTATGTCTTTTATGTCATGCCCATGTCTGATTGTTTAGGCTAGCACTTCTGGAAGAAATCGCAACAGGAGTGATAATAGTGGGCATCCTTGTCTTAATCTTGATTTAACGGGGTTACCTCTAGAGCTTTATCCTTTATAAGTGCCCCAAATAGGAATAAATACAAGGTTTTTTTTCAGTCAGGAATGAATGCTGAATTTTATCAACTGTGTTTGTGGAGTTTATTTAGATCATCTGTTTTTTTCTCCCTTTAGCTTGTTGTTGTTATTGTTAGGTGCTGTCAAGTCTGTTCCGACTCATAGCGACCCTGCATACAACAGAATAAACACTGCCCGGTCCCGCACCATCCTCACAATCGTTATGCTTGAGCCCTCGTTGAAGGTCCTCCTCATTTTTGTTGACCCTCTACTTTACCAGGCATGATGTTCTTGTCCAGGGACTGATTCCTCCTGATAACAGGTCCAAAATATATGAGACGAAGTCTCGCCATCCTTGCTTCTAACGAGCTTTCTGGCTGTACTTCTTCCAAGACGGATTTGTTCCTTCTTTTGGCAGTCCACGGTATATCCAATATTCTTCGCCAGCTCCACAATTCAAAGGCGTCAGTTCTTCTTTGGTCTTCCTTATTCGTTGTCCAGCTTTCACATGCATATGAGGTGACTGAAAACACCATGGCTTGAGTCGGGAACAACTTAGTCCTTAAAGTGACATCTTTGCTTTTTAAAACATTTTAAAGAGGTCTTTTGCAGCAGATTTGCCCAATGCAGTGTGTCTTTTGATTTCTTGACTGCTGCTTCCATGGGTGTTGATTGTGGATCCAAGTAAGATGAAATCCTTGACAACTTCAGTCTTTTCTCCATTTATCATGATGTTGCCTATTGGTCTATTTGTGAGGATTTTTGTTTTCTTTATGTTAGGGTGTAATCCTTACTGAAGGCTGTGGTCTTTGATCTTCATCAGTAAGTGCTTCAAATCCTCTTTGCTTTCAGGAAGCAAGGTTTTGTCATCTGCATAACACAGGTTGTTAACGAGTCTTCCTCCAATGTTGATGCCCCATTCTTCTTCATATAGTCCAGCTTCTCGGATTATTTGTCAGCATACAGATCGAATAGGTATGGTGAAAGGCTACAACCCTGATGCACACCTTTCCTGACTTTAAACCATGCAGTATCCCCTTGTTCTGTAAGTTGCATAACAGTAGATTTCCTGGAATGAACCCCATTTGGCCTTGTTGCCTTAATCTTTAAATGTAATAATGTGTATTATTTGATAATATTTAATAGGTATTTTTGCATCAATAATTAAAAGTATGATTGCTGTCATACTTTTTTTTGGTATGCCTTGTCCTTACTTGGTATAAGTGGATGCTGGCATCTCAAAAGAATTGGAGTGCATTTCTTCTTTTTCTATGCTCTGTAAGAGTTAAAATAGCACTAGAATTATCTATTCTATGAAAGGTTGAATGAATTCTTATAGGAAGCATTCTGAACTTATAGCTCTAATTTGAGGGTATAGCTTTTTGTCACCTTTCTCAATTTCTGGCATTGTGTCTCTCTTTTTAGGTTTTTTATCTCTTCTTGACTCAATTTTTATCATTTACATCTTCTTAAAAAGTCATTTCATTCAGGTTTTCAAGTTTATTAACATAGAGATTTACAAAAATATTATTTTATATTTATTTTAATATTCTATATATGTATGGGTTCCCTTACTTCTTTACCAGTCTTAATTCTTATGTAAATTTATCTATTTTTTAAAGCATTATCTGGCAAGTTTACTATATTTTTCTATTTTTAGTTAATGCATTTGCTTTTACATTTATAATTAAGTGCACTTAAGTATTCTTTTTTTGTTCTTCAAAATAATCCATCTGTCCTCAATCTGGAAAACTTGAAAAATTACAATCATGTCTTTCAAATGAATTAAATCTGTAGGTATATTTGACTTAGACACAACAAGAGAAAGGATGCCTAATTAAATGGGTTATTGTAATTCCATAGACTTTTCTTGGTGACTGTATATAATATGAAGATAAAAATCCTGTCAAATCAGTTTAAAAAGTCAAGGCAAATATTTGTTTTGTGTATAGGTTGTAAAATATTTTGACTTCTCTTAGTAGACTATAAGACAAGTGTAAAGTAGATCACATTTTCCTCTCACCTTTTTTTTAATGTGCTTTTCTTTTTTTTTTTTTAGTGTCTTCCCCATTATTGACTGGCATCTTGTAAACTTGAGTCACCCCAGGCTCCTGCTGGGCAAACTTTACCCTCCGTCTCTTTTCCCACCCTTGGTTCTGAGCCCTAATTCCCTTCCTATCAAAGTGTATCTGACCGCCACATTTCATTCCCTCATTAATAAGCCTACACCATCTAGATGATAACCTGAGCTGATAAACTGTCACTAAAATATTAATGCTTGGCAATAGTTTGGAATATTACTTTTCAATACATATTTGTATTTTAATAGAGAACTTTCAGAGTTATAGTATCTTAACCCTACAGAATTGGTGGTAGGGAGACCCTTTGCTGGTATTTGAATTAAACAGTACAGACAACTTTCTCTAAATGTAAAACCAACTCCATAAAAGATACAAAAATATGTATTAACTTTTTCAAAATGTAACTTTGTAGAAGCGTTTTACAAAACCACATTAAATTGTTTTGTTTTTGTTTGTAGGCTGGTGGAATGAAGGCAGGAACATTTGATCCTTACCCTTCACATTCTGCTGACCCTTATGTGACTAAATTGCCAAGACGTATTTCTGGCAAAATTGATAAGATTTTTCATCCACCAGGTGGACCAAAAAGCCGACCAATGACAAGTATAATGACTTTAAACGTCAAAAGGTAGGAATATCTTGCGTTTAACCCATAAACCAAGAAAAATTGTTTTCAACTTTTAGACTTCTTCAAAAGAATATATTTTATACATGTTTTTAAAAATGACAGATTTTAGCAACTTTGGAAGTTATTCTTTTCCATCTTCTGAAATACTCAATCGAGGAAGCTTAATTTATCTGTACCAAACTACCTTGTCCATGTTTTTTTAAGCAAATCTATGATACTTTATTGTAAGTCATTGAGACTATTTAGATATATATTACCATTGTCTGTTTCTCAAAGGGAGCTTTTGGTCCTTATTAAGTTATCATATATGTGGGGGCTCCAGGTTCTCAGCAATTGTGAGGAATCCTAATGACACTTGAGATTTGTGACCTTAACTTTGAAATAACCTTCGATAAAAATAGGAAACATTAATTAAAAATGCTATTCCTACCACTTTATAAATGCTTTGAGAAAAACTATATGTGTATTATTAAACTTTCATAAATCTTCAATTTTACCCAGGTTTTGAGAGTACCCATAGGAAGTTCTTAGGTATTCAGAATTTAAATTAGAAAAAGACAATCTGTCATTTTTTACTTGTGCACAATCATAAATAATTAAGCGGAAGAATTTATTTGTTACCTTTGTATCTATTTTTTGAAATAGTTTTATTGCCATTTATGCTAACTTACATATTTCTGTGACATAATCATATGCTGAATTAGGTAAAGGACACCAAATTCATATTCTTTTGTTTTACTAAAACAGTAGTACATCTTTATCAATTGTGTGCAGTGATTATAACACCAACATTATTGTTGCTAGTTGCCGTTGGGTCAATTACTACATCATAAGAATAAGACTGCCCTTCATTACAGAGGTGCACTTCTGACTCACTACCCTTGACTTCATTAGAGCCATGTGTTTACCGACAGAGGAAGCCAGCTAAAGACAGTGTGTTAAAATGTTAGTGCTGTGTGTCAGCTTTACCTAACCAGGAATGTAGTTGTAAATATGTGAATTCTTTTGGTAAAAAACATGTCATAGTAAGTTAATACTATGTTAAAACTTTGATAATTTTGAGTAATCTAAATTAGATTATGTTCATACTCTTGTTACTCAGGAGACTATTTAGAAGATTCAGCAGTCCTTTGCTACTTAGCAGTGCCTTGTCCTACTTTATTCTCTCACACAACATCTATTCAGAGCTTCAAAATAGACCGGCCTTTCTGACTGAATTATTTTTTATCCATTTAATTGGTAATTTATATTGAAAAAAAGATCTTTGGACAGCCTAACCTTTACCGCATTCAAGGACTTATCTAGACCTACTTAATTTTGTCTACAGAATTTTCAAGATTAGAAAAATGATTTTAAATAAGGAAGATTTAAAATTTTTAGTTTGTTACTTCACACATGAATATCTCCAAAATGAACTCATGCATGCCCACAGCATTTTTGGTGACATGTATGATTACTGTATTTTATGTACATTATGATGTGTTTTTGTTTAAAAATATGTTGAATTATCCTCTTCTGGCCTCCTGGGAGGCATCAGCTCTATACACTGACTTCAAACATTTGATATGCGGAATTGGAGGACCTTGTAATGTGGCCGTCACCTGCTTTCATGTTGTCTTGCCCATTACTTTTCCATGCACCCTTTACTTCAGTCACATGAACTACATATACTTTTTTTTTTTTAGCTTCCCTGCTTCGTTGCTAATAAGTTTACTCCATCTGCTTTCTATCATTTCCTCTATAAAGCCTTTAGTAATACCTCAGGTGGAGCTTTTACTGAACTTGTTTGTCTACACAGCTGTCTTAGGCTTGGTTCTCTAGAGAAGCAAAACCAGTGAAATGTATTGTATTAGGCTGGGTTCTCTAGAGAAGCAAAACCAGTAAAGCATATAAATATATAGAGATTTATATTAAGGAAATGGCTCACATGGTTGTGGAGGCTGGAATATCCCAAGTCTGTGGGTCAGGCTGGAGGCTTCCTCTGATTCATGTAGCCACAGGGGATGGCGAACCCAAGATTGGCAGACAAGACTGCAGATAAGCTGCTCGCTCAAGTCCCAAGAACCAGAGGTCAGACAAACAGGAGCCAGCTGCAGTATCCAGCGTGAGCAAAAGCCCAAGAGCCTTGCCAGAAAGTCCACCTGCATTGGATGCAGACCACACCTCTAAGGAAACTCCCTTTCAACTGACCGGCTACTCACAGCAGATCCCATCATGGAGGTGATCACATTATATCAGATCTCATCACGGAGGTGATTATATCATTATACGACTGCCAAACTACATCATAACTGCCAAACCACTGAGAATCATGGTCCAGCCAAGTTGACACACAACCTTAATGATCACATGTGTACATATATACACGAGACTTATCTCAAGGAAATGGCTCATGCAGTTGTGGAGGCTGGCAAGTTGCAAATCCATGGGTCCGGCATCATGTTGGAGGCTTCTCCTGACTCACATGATTGCAGGAGCTGATGAACCCAGATCAGCAGGTCAGATGACAGGCTGCTGGCTCACAGGGCTGTGGAGGCTGGCGAATCAGGTCAGACATAGGCTGCTGGCTCAAGTCCCCGAAACTGAAGGTCAGATGACGACGAGCCAGATGCAGGATCCAGAGCAAGAGAGAGCTTTGCCAGAATATCCATATTTATCTGACGCAGGTTATACCCTCAAGGAAACTCCCCTTATTTCAGATACTCAAGTAAGGTGGTGATTTGTATAAGGGTATACCTTATGTAAGGCTGTGATTTGAGTCACACCCTTTAGTAAGGTCATGACTCGATACACCCCACACTGACCCTGCCTCATTAACATATAGAGGTTTAGTATCTACAACACATAAAATAGATGATAATTACACAATACTACAAAATGGAGGACAATTATACAATACAAAATCAAGGCCTAGCCAAGTTGACACATAACATCAACCATCACAGCAACCTATGCCTTTATGTATTACAGCTATTTCATACACGTTCTACCTTGTGGTGCAGTTATTTTGGACACGTAGATGTGTTTAATTTTTCTATTCCTCAGAACTGTTGCCTCTATACTTTCCATATGGCAGGTGCTTAAAAAGTGTTTGCTAAAGTTATTTCTTGAGCATATGTAGACATCAGTAGCATTAACTACAGAGTGCCTCTAACCCTATAATTGTTACATATTCATCTGTACTAAACCATGTGTGCATCTCATAGGAAAATTGGAACCAGTATCTTTCCTGTGAAGTCAGTTTCATTCATTTTGTATCGTTGCAATTAATGGAAACAGTACATTCAAATTTTATGTAAAATAAAACCACCACTCAGAAAAATTCTAATATAAAATTCCTTGACAAAAGCCCTAAGTAGCTGTGACAGCTTCAAATTGTAAATAGAACTGCTAAACTAAGTAATTAATACAAAATTGCTGACAATAAGGTCCTATTATAAGTGAGTTGATGTTGGTGAAGTAGGTAGTCCTTATCAGATCCAACATTTAGCTAATTCAAGTCCAAGCCCACTGTATGTTGCTGATGGTATATATATGGGCTCAAATGAACAGGTTTTGGAAATATAAGTGATGTCTTAACCCATGTGAACTTTAATAAGCTTATATAGATATACTGATGACACCTAATTTATGTATATTTAGTCTACTGTTCATAGTACTTCGGTGACAGTTTTGTAGACAAAGTAAAGAAAATTGATTTTGACAAAGGAAAATTCAAATTTCCTGAAAGAATAGATATAAACCAATTTGTACCACTGAGTGAGTTTTCTTTACATTGCTAGGTGATTCCGCTGTCTATCAGGGTAAATCTGTGTAATTTTATCTCTTGTCTACAGAAACAGCATTCTCTGTGGGCCAGTTGATAGAGTATTGGACTTGGAAACAGGAAGATAGGGACCTCTTATTCCAAGTCCTTTTACTTTATCCATTGGCAACCACTTATCAGTCTGCCCAGCTTTACCTATTATGGAAAGTCTATATCACAGACAGTAAAATTAGAATTAGCCTACCACATCCACCTCAAAGAGATGAAAAAAAATTTGCAGGGGGAGTGTTCAGGTTTCCTGGGTGTTCTTTCTATCCAGACAACAGACCCGAGACAGTACTGCAGTGCCCTAGCATGTTTGGAGCAGGGAACGAAGGGGAGAGTAACTACTGAAAAGTCAGCAGTTTATCTTCTGTTTTGTAATTTTTAGTTTAGTAAAATCTTTTTATATTTATGTTATCACAAATATTATACTAAATGAAGTTTTAGCTTCTTTTATCCTAATTTTAAAACTAATAAACCCCTGGATACTAGTATTTAAGATTGGCTCCATATTTGTTTTCCTTCTTAAATTACATTTTCAGAGTATATCTGACCTCCATAAAGTGAAGTTTTGTATGTAATTTGATGAGAAGATTTTGTGTAATACAAGAAGTTTTCATAAGAATGTACAGTATATTGCCTACACCTATAAAATTAAATATGTACTTATTTTCCAATTTTAGGGCACTAAATATGAAGAACTACAAGACTGCTTCAGTACAGTCCTATTAAAAACTGGAAGACAAATAGCTCTCTAGACCCTGCCTGCCAGTAATTCATTATCAAGTGCTGATTATTAAAAAAAAAAAAAGATAATGGAACAAATAGCTCAAACATTTAAATCAAATTGAAGCTTGCAACTCTGGCCCCTTCCTTGTTTTAATTTAGTACTACTACTTAATGAATAAATAGTACTTGTTAATAATCTAACATATCATTGCTGATCTATGTTTACATCTGTGGTTGCCGTGAGTCAGAGTCATTTCCATAGCAACTGGTTTAACTGGCTTTCTGAGCAGAATATACTGTTGAGAAATTTTGTGAAACCTTGAAATGTCTATCATTTGAAAACTTTTATTCCTAATGTTAAAAAAAACTGCAAGTTGGAGTGCAGGTGAGGGCTGGAGAAGTAGGAAGTGCATAGTGAATTTTTAACTTGCTGTGTCTTCTTGGAAGTGTTTGAAAATTGGGTTGGTAGCTGAGTGTCATAGCCTATTAAAGCGTTGGCAACATTGAAGATAAATATTGGATCCATTGATATTGCCTAGAATTATGTATACATGCGTTATATAGTAAGGCAAGCATTTCAACGTATGTGGCTTCATGCCTTCTATTCATGGCCTGTGTAAAACATCAGATCATACTAGCCAATGGCAGCCGCAAGATGAGTTGGGGTGAAGAAGCAATGCACTTGTTGGAATTACAAACTTGCAAAGTGGGTAAAGTTTGCTTTTGGTGTCTTCTCATGTTGCTCTCTAGCTGTCCAAAGCTGCCTCTCCTGGACCATTCCACCCAGGTTTTGCCCTCTAGTTCCCATAGTATCTCTACTTTGCTCACCCTGTTTGAAAAAATCTGTTCTTAGAAGATATAATGTGACTTAAATACAGTGCTGTAATTCATAGTGAGGTCTCTATCGATAGTCCTCATTCTGTCAGGGAATAATTTAATGTAATGTATTGGTAAAGTTATTTTTGATCAGTGATGTTTTCTTAGTACCCCTTGTCCGTCTGGTAATATAGTTTATCCCTCTGCCACTCCAGGCTTTGCAGAACTAGAGATAAGAATGCATAGAGGCTGTAGGACTCTTCTTTTAGGTGCATTTTTCCCCCAGTGGGAGGAACGATGTCAAGTCATGTACGCATCTGGCTTTTAAAGGAATTGTACTGGTAGGGAGCCCTCGTGGTGCAGTGGTTAGAGGTCAGCTGCTAACCAAAAGGTGGGCAGTTCAAATCCACAAGCTGCTCTTTGGAAACCCCGTAGGGCAGTTCTACTCTGTCCTGTAGGGTTGCTATCAGTCGTAATCGACTTGACGGTAACAGGTTTGTTTTCTTGGCAGACAGTAGAGAGAATTTTTACTTTCTTTTATACCTTACGTGGTATCTAAAATTATTTATTTAGGCCTAAAATTAAGGCCCAATATTATGTACTGCCTTGACCTCTGCTGCAACCAGGAGGGCCTTGATTGGCTTCACTCAGGTTTCCCTCCCCATTGGGCTCCCATGGATGAGATCTCCCAGCCAAATCACCCTCCTCATCATGGGGACCAGGTGCAGTTCCTGCTTGTCCCTGAGCAGCAGTTTGTTTCCTGCCAGCCTGTGGGATTATTCACACAAGCCAATCACATCCTCCCGTGGGAACTAGCGGTCATCCCATCCTCTTCCAGCTACAAAGCTTGCCTCGCATAGCCCCTGCTTGTTTGCTCCGTTCCCGAGTGCAGCCTGTATATGGCCGTGCATGGTGTGCTGCCACCTCTTCCGTGGGCTGTCGGTACATGTGACTAATAAGCTGCTGTTGATCTCAACTGTCCAGTGTTGAGTGTTGTGTGCCCGGCCAGCCCCATAACCCTAGGATATGGGAATCCGTCCCTCCTCAATGGCGTGAATAGGAGTGACTAAACCTCATGACTAATCTTTTATTTTTTTTAAAGGAATACTTAAAACTGTTCTTGTTTTTTTATCAAAAGATAGTAAGGAATGAAAACCTTAAAGATTTACCAAGAGTATAATGTGACTCAAAGAGACATCCGTATCTTTTCAGAATAGGAATGGTTCTATTAGGTACACGTAACTGATTAAAAGTTATATAATTATATACTGATAAATGTTACTAAAGAAGCCTCATAAATATATGCATACTTTTGAGATCAGAGCTAAAGTCTAAATCATTGTTTATTTTCGCCTCTGCCTTTCATTAGTAGCAGTTCATCTTTATTAATGCGCCTTTTCATAGCAATGCACACTACGTATCTTGTTGGTGTTGTCAGCTGCCGTCGAGTTGGCACACACTCAAGGGACGCCATATGTTACAGAGTAGAACTGCTTCATAGGGTTTTCTTAGCTGTGGTCTTTATGGAAGCAGACAACATCAAGTGGTCTAACAGATACAGGTAATTGGAATCTCAGAAAAAGGTGACAGAAAATATTTAAATAAAGAATGGCTGAAAATTTCCAAGTTTGATGAAGATTATATTCCAATATACAAGATGCCCAAAGAACACCAAGTGGATTAAACACAAAAGAAGAGTCACACCAGGACACATCATAATAAAATTATAGGAAACCAGTGATAAAGATAAAAATCTTAACATCTGCTAGAGAAAAAAGACACATTATATACAAAAACAAAGAATTCTCATCAGAAACTATGTAAGTCTGAAGACAATGAATGACATCTTCAAAGGACTGAAAGAAGCTGTCAACCCAGAATTCTGTATACAGTGAAATGTATTGTTCAAAAAATTAAGGCAAAATAAAGACTTTTTCAGACAAAGAAAAGCTGAGACCTGTACTACAAGAGGTGTTAAGGGAAGTTTTTAAGCAGGAGGAAAACTATACCATATGGAAACATGGATCTACTTAAAGAAGGCTGGAAACGATAAATGTGTAGTTAAAAATAAAATACTTTTTTCCCTCATAGTAACTTCTTTAAAGGCTAATTTACTATTTAAAGTAAAAATAGTAAAAATGTGTTGTGGGATTTATAACATATCTAGAAGTAAAATCTAAACAACTGTAGCACAAAGAAGGGGGGAAGGAAGTAGAAATACGTTGTTGTTGGAGTCCTGTTTTATATATGAATTGGCATAACATCCTTTGAAACTAAACTGTAGTAAGTTAAAGATGTATATATAATCCTACAGATAACCCTACAGAATCTTCAAAGAGGAAAAAATAATAGTAAAGAAGTATGGCTAATAAGCCAAAGTAGAGATAAAATGGAATTCTAAAAAGTAATCAATCCTAAAGAAGGCAGGAAAAAAAGAAAGAAAAACAGCACAAATAGAAATCAAATAGCAAGATGTTAATTACATTAAATCATATTGATAATTACATTAAATATAAATAGCTAAGCACTGCAATTTAAAGGCAGAGATTGTCACACTTGATAAAAAGGAAAGGCCCAACTATATGCTGTCTAAAATAAACCCAGTGTAAATATGAAAACACATTAAAAGCAAAAGGATGCAGAACAATACATTATATAAAAACTAAAGATAACCTTAGTGCCTATATTAATATCAATTCAAGACTTTAGAACAAGGAATATCACCAGGGATAAAGAGAGTCATTTCATAATATAAAGGGATCAGTTCATCAAGGGGACATAATAGTCCTAAATGTGTATGCACATAGTAACAGGTTTAAAACACCTGAAACAAAAACAGAAGAAATCCACAAATATAGTTAGCAACTTCTCCATTCCTCTATCAGTAATTGTTAGGACAAGTAGACAGAAAATCTGTAAGGATATAGAAGCCTTGAACAACACTGTCAGTCACCTATACCTAGTTGATATTTGTAGAACACTCTACTACCACTAGCAGAATATTTTCATAACAGTGGAATATACATTCTTTTCAAGTGCACATGGAACGTTAACCAAGATAGAGCATATTCTGGGTAATAAAACAAGTCTTGATAAATTTAAAAAGACAAATTATACCGAGTATGTTCTCTAACCACAACAAAATTAAATTAGAAATAACAGAAAAATATCTGAAAATATACACATATTTGGAAATTAAGAAACCAACTTCCAGATATTCCACTGGGTCAGAGAATCACAAGGAAATGAGAAAATATTTTCAACTGAATAAAAATGAAAATACAATGTATCAAAATTTGTGGAATGCAGCTAAAGCAGTGGCTTAGAAGGAAAATTATAGCTTTAAAGAATTATTTTATTAAAGAATAAAATTTCAAAACCAATGACCTAGTCCTCCACCTTAAGAAACTAAAATAAAAGCTAAAATAAGAAGGAAGAAAATTTAAAAATATGAGGAGAAATCAATGGAATAGAAAACAAAAACAATAGAAAAAAATCAATGAAACAACAAGCTGATCTTTGAATAGAGCAATAAAATTGATAAAACTCTAGCTAGATTACTGTTCAATAAAAAAAGAGAAACCCCAAATTACCAGTATCAGAAATTATACAGTGGACATCACTACAGGTCCTCTGGACATTTGGGAATTTAGATGGAATGTACAAGTTCCTCAAAAGTCACAAATTACCAAAACAGACTCAAGAAGAAATAGAAAATAAGAATAGTTCTGTATCTATTAATGAAATTGATTTTGCAGTATACAACCTTCCCATAAAGAAAACTCCAGGCCCTCTGATGAATTCTATTAAATATCTAAGGAAGACATAATATCAAGAATACGCATCCTAAACGAATCCTTTCAGAAGACAGAGGAGGAGGGAATGCTTCCGAACATATTTTATTCAGTTTTATCCTGATACTAAAACCAAAGACATTAAAAGGAAATAAAACTACAAACCAATATTCTTCTGAACATAAATGTAGAAATCCTTAATAAAATATTACCAAATCGAGTCAAGTATATATTAAAAGGTAATACAACATGACCTAGTGGAGTTTATCCCAGGAATGCAACATTGGTATTGTATTTCAAAATTAATTAGTGTCACTTGCCATATTAATAGATTTAAGGAGAAAAACCATATGATCACCTCAATAAATAGAGACCATCTGGCAAAATTCAGCCAGGATGTTTGTATAGCTAACAGTCTTGGAATAGTAATAACAGAGTCATTTTGTCTCCCTCTGGAGCAAAGGGT